TCGCATCTCCACTGCATTCAACTTACTTTTATGCTTCTTCTGGCATACCCAGGTTTCGCTGCCATATAACAAAGTCGGTACCAACACTGCGTTATGTATTGCAAGGCGTGCACTCTTCGCTACGCCTTGCCTTTTGACTAACGCAGTCAGGGCACCATTGACTTTGTTCCCGGCAGCGACACGCCTGTCCACATCTAAATCACATCTTCCATCCCGGCTAAAAGCACTCCCCAAGTATACAATTTCATTTACCTGTTCTAGACATTCCTGATTTACCCATATTTCACACTTCGTTCTCTCTTCGTCCCTTTCAAATACCAGAACCTTAGTTTTATTAGCATTCAAACGGAGACCTTTAATTTCACATTCCTCTTTCATACACGTGACTAATGCCTGCAGTTCTGCCTCTGATGGTGCAATAAGCACTGCATCATCAGCATACAGCAGACAATTTACTTTAATGTCACCCAATTTCACACCCAAACAACTATCTTTCAGCTTCTGTAAACAGCTGTCGAGATACAGTATGAACAGCCAGGAAGACATGACACAACCCTGCTTTACGCCCGTTTGGACGTTAAACATGGGTGACAGGTCATGCCCTACCCGCACACAGGCTTTACAGTCACAGTAAAGAGACTGCACAGCCCTTAGCAATCGACCATCCACACCATACCCCGGCAACAGTTCCCACATTTTCTTCCTTACAACCTTATCAAATGCTTTCTCAAGATCCACAAAAGCACAGAAAATCTTCTGGTTAGCAGCCAGAAGCTTCTCCGTGATCATGCGGAGAGAAAACATTTGATCCGTGCATCCTCTTCCAGGTCTAAATCCGCATTGTGCCTCCCATAGAAATCTTTCCGATTTCTCTTGCATCCTACGTGTCAAAACCTTCGAGTAAACTTTACTTGCTAAACTGGTCAAGCTGATCGCCCGATAGCACCCGCAGTCAAAATGTGAACCTTTACCTTTATATAAAGGCACAATGACTGCGGATCGCCAATCATCCGGGACATCCCCCGTCCGCCAGCACAAATTGCACAGCAGATGAAAGCTGTCCCAGACGCGAGGCCCACCATACTTGACCATTTCAGCAGTAACTCTGTCTAGTCCCGCAGCCTTACCACATTTCAAACTTCGAATCGCACGTTCAATCTCTTTCATACTGATGATCTCAGTGTCATCGAGGTCCGGGTCTGGCGTACCAGTCACGGCGTCATCCCCGGATCCCTCACTAAGATCATCACACGCATACATTTCTCTATAAAATTCGCTCCATCGCTGCATGACGTCCGATTTTTCTGAGAGGACGTCATTAGTTCTCGAAAGCACTTTGTTCATTCTTAAGGCCGTCGCACCACTTCGGGTCCTTCCAACCTCTTTCCAGAAGAGTTTGGAGTTCTCCTTAAAGTTGTGCGACAACCTTTCGTCCGCTTCCATTCTACACCTTTCACGCACTTCCTCAATCAGTGCTTTCGTGTGAACTTTCTGCAGCCTATATCTTTCTTTCATCTTCTCTCTCATATCCTTATCATTACTAGAGGCCAAGTAGTCTAACCATGCTTTCTTCTTCTTCTTTACAGCTTCTTTCACTTCATCATTCCACCATGCATCTCTTCTTTTACTACTGCCTCTTTTTATTGTTCCACACACTTCTTCCGCTGCACTTACCATTCCATCCCTAAGGTTCTGCCAAGTTCTTTCTACACATTCTTTTCTGCCATCGATGGTGTCAAGCTTTTCGGCTACCCTCGCTTGATATTTGTCCCTAGTATCCGCTTCCTGAAGCTTCCAGCTTCGGATGCAACAGACCGACTGTGGTTCTGTTACTGCCGTCCGGTAGCGCCAACCCGCGAACAGACCCCTAAATCTAGTAATCACTAGATAGTGATCCGTTCCCAGGTCAGCACCCCTGAACACTCGCGTATCCATCACCTGTTTTCGCAGTCGGTCATCCACCAGGAACAAATCAATCATACTTCTCTCATTCTTTCGTTCTCTAGTATACATATGGATTTTCTTGTGATTAAACATAGTGTTTGTCACAAGAAGACCCTTTTCCTTGCACACCGCCAGTATAAGCTTGCCAGCATCATTAACCCTTTTATCGCCAAACTTTCCAAGTACCGACTCGTACCCTGGTCGAGCGGTACCAACCCATCCATTCAAATCACCACATACAACAATTCTTTCGTTTCCCCTAGCTAAATCTAGAACTTCTCTTACATTCTCCCAAAACTCCTCCAGCTCAGCCCTGGACGACGAAGCTACCGGCGCATAAACAGCCAAAAGGAATAACTTCGTCAGTCCCAATTTAAAGCGAACCCAGAGAAGTCTTGAGTTCACAACCTTATATTCAGTCATAACATCGACCAACCGAGAAGACAGCAGCACCCCCACTCCCTGGCAGGCGCTCTCGCTCTCCGGGACTCCTGACCATAGAGCTAACGCCCCGCCAGGGAGCTCTTCAGTACCACTGCCCTTCCGTTTGGTCTCCGACATACACACGACATCTAATTCTCTTTCTTTCATTATTTCGATCAACTCATTCGTCTTATCTCTCATGCCTCCTCTAACATTCCACGTGCCAACTCTGCACTCTGTCCTCCACCTTCCGCCGTGTCGGGCTGTGCGTGACGGGTGGCGGTCCCCATCGCCGCTTTGCACGCTGCATTCCACACCAACGGGGACGAGCTGGTGTGCGTCGCCTTGGGGGGACGCCCTAACCCTCGTTGGCATGGGTGCGCAGCTAGTAGAATTGCAGCCCTGAAAAGGGCTGACAGGGGTCGCGACGAGCACGCTTCTACAATGACCCCCAATACTGTTGTGATACTATCTGTGAAAATCTTCTACTTTGACTTCCTCCTTCTTTTTTGTGTCATTGATGGCAACTGTATGATTACGCATGCACGCATGTAAAGACGCACGCACGCAGGCACAATAGTATGCACGCACGCACGAGAGTGTAAGAGAGAGAATAAGAGGGAAAGGAAGGGAGGGAGAGAACGAAAACCGTAATTTAACACCACTGGCTTACCTTGAAAAATGTTTTCCCTTGAAAGACACCTTGAAATATATATTTTTTTAGAATAAGGGTGGCAAACGAGCACACCTGATGGTAAGTGGCGGCTGTAGCCCATAGGCATCTACATTTATTCTTAACTAAGAATGAAAATGCAGATGCGTTGTCACCTCTAAGAACTAAGATGGAATGCCTATACAATACACAGCAGCTGCTATTTTATGTTGGTATTCTGTGAGAGCGTCATCTTCCCCGGTTGAACCGATCCATTCGTGCTACAATCATAATACTCGTGGCTCTACCACATTAGATATAATACGAACAGTTTAATTTTTATACAATAATAATCCGGAACGAATTCAAGAAAGAAATGTGCACGTAATTAAATATCTGTAATAACAGAGGTTGAGAGGCATGAATTATGATTTACATTAATAAGGATATTTTCGGCAGCTGCGCGAGTCTAAGCTGCCGGCTCTCCAAACACTGCTGAGTAATTGTTCAGATTCAAATCTCATAAATTCTCTCCTTATGATTGCTCCTTGGATCATGCAGTATAATGAGTGATTTGTAGTAATGAATTCGTCTTATTTACCTTAAAAACTTGTGAAAGAATATCGAGTATACAGGTTTGAAGTATAACTATAATAAACTGGAAAAACAAACATTTAGAGTAGATATAACTTCTTACTAAATAACTGTACTTACTCGTATGTACTTTAAAATAATATGAAGAGTTTTGGTTTTGAATGAGAAACCCTAAGCAAACAGTACAACTTTTTTTAAAGAGATAAGGTACAGTTTAACTAATAATAGGTGGATACTGTGTCCCATAACTACCTACCACTATCTTCGTAAAAGTCAAAAGACATGAATAGCTTAAAGTCATCACCACTGTCATCATCATCACCATCATCATCATCATTTCAGCCCGCCACAAGTCGAGGAATTCCATAGAGGAGATATTTGCCACAGGGGCAACATAGTTGCAAATGGTAACCGGCACTTGGCAAGTTGGCTGCCAAGTGCATTTTTTATTTTCTTATTGTTATAAGGAAAGCAATGCTGCCTATCTTCTAGTTTGTTTCTCTCTGTCACTTCTTATGATACCCATGGGACGATATTACTAGTGATTATTCTTAAGCCGCCACTATAACGGCCATGATGAATATTAAAAACGATTGATTGAATTTCTAATTGTTAGTATTCGTGATAGCTCAGAAGATTGCCGTTAACTTCACAAGTCGATCTCTACTGCCACCAATCAAGTTAATTCATTAATTGGAGTGAACAGAGTGCTGATTTGCCACGTACTGGCTGTGGAGAAAAACATTAGGAAACCTATTATCTAAAGATGAAAAAAATTCAAAGACCTTGGATGTCCAGTTCCAGGATATGATATCATAGGAATGAGGGGCCTCTGTCTATTAGTGGGATGTACAAAGGCTGAAGCTTTACCATTATTTCACTTTAATCAATTGTTTAGCAGGTCATGATAGGTCAAATAATAGAACGAAAACAATCGTTATAAATGAGGTAGTAATACGGTTAGTATAAAACAGTCATGAGTGTTCCTTGGGGCTAAATTATTAGCTCCTTACTTTTCTACCGACTACAAAAAGGAGGAGGTACTCAATTGAACTGTATGTTTGTTTTATGTGTCATAACCTCATAACTTTTTTCTAGAAGAACCGATTTCGATGATTCTTTTTTATTTGAAAGCTGGTGCTTCTCATGTGGTTCCATATAAATTTAATTGGTTCCATTTAAATTTCTATGGCCTGCAAATAACTGTTCCGGGTCTGGATGTTTGTCTTTGTGCAATTTGTGTTTGTAAACTGCCTCCACGATACAGGAGAAAATCCTAATGTGGGGGTAACGTTTTTCTAAAAAATAAAAAAACAATAAACAATATCTGACTAATATTTTTTGAGTTATCTTTAATAATATATATTGAAGTCAGTTGTCCAAATTTTTAAATATTACCACTTGTATTTATTACGGATCGCCGTAATGCCGTGCGAAAAATGGAATAAAACGCGCTGGTCTTGCTTTTAACTGGAGGCAAGCGGCGGTGAGGAGGAACTTGTACTTTTTCTTTTCTTGCTGGTGCCTTTTCGGTGGCTGGAGAGCGACTGCTGACCCTAGCGGCCGGCCCGTCTTTTATATGATTTGGCCGCTGCTGGCCAGCGGACCCTTGCCTCACCCCCGCGCCTATCTTTATTTATTTAATAACCTTACAAACTAATAAACATAATTCACTATATAATATTCTTATAACTACTTGTTAGACTAGGGTGTACATATCAATATTTTTACTTATTTAAAGGTTTACATTATAATTTTCAGCTGCTTTAGGCGGAGAATCCTTCCCCCCGCCTCAGCAATATAAATATAAAACGTCGTGGCGCGGTGCGCGTGGCTTCATTTGCTCCGCGGCCGCGTCACGATAACATGCTCTTTGGTTACACTACTACTATTTTTTTATGTGCCTAACGGCCTAATATATTTATTATATAATAAAGTAAACATTTATTATATTTAACAATTGTAGTTTTCATTAGAAGACTATGCTAACTCTCCCTGTTCATACGGTGCCTTTATTTGGGAGAGTTATTGCACAGTTACAACTCAACCTTAAACTTAGTTATAATACAATCATTATTTGTTTATCGTTCGATACAAGTAATACAATTATTTACACAAATTATAATTTAAATTCAACATAAGGTTGCGCTAGTTCCGCCGTATAACCCTTGCTAGTTGTCGAACCAGAGGCGTGGCCTGATAATTACACCGTCGTCATGGCTCCGCCCACCGCTCCTAGGTTGTTCAACTAGCGCCGGTTACAATAAGCATTTTCTTTCGTTTGTTTAATATTGTTGCGTCGTTCTCCCGCCGTCGCCACGCTGCGATCCCTCTGGTAGCACGACGATCTTCTTCGTTGGTCTTCTTAGTATGTGCCCACTGCCGGTGGTTACGTCCACTACTCGTACCTCTCCGTCGACGCCAGGATATACCTTACTTATTTTCCCTCTGGGCCAGGTGTTGCGTGGTAGATTGGAGTCACAAATGATGACTAGGTCTCCAATCTTCGGCGATACTCCTATGCTGCTGGGCTCCCGCCGGTGTTGGAGTAGGGGCAGGTATTCTTTAACCCATCTTCTCCAAAACACGTCGGCTAGGGCTTGAGCTCGTTTCCATTGCTGGCGGGCCGTCACGTCATTCTTGCTGAAGTGTCCCGGCGCAGGTACGTGCGAGTTGGGACCGATGAGGATGTGATTCGGCGTGATGGCTTCAGGGTCTCCTGGGTCGACTGAGACGTGTGTGAGAGGTCTGGAGTTTACAGTATTTTCGACCTCGGCGAGCAGGGTCCCCAATGTTTCGTCGCTGGGATAGCGCTCGTTGAGGGTGACGCGTAGGGCTTCTTTTACGGAGCGAACCATTCGCTCCCATACGCCGCCCATGAACGGTGCTGATGGCGGTATGTACTTCCACACAATCTGTTGACACGTGGTTTCGTGCTCGAGGGCTGCGAGTGCTGCTTCGGCCATCTCCTTGTCTGCTGCCTTGAAGCACGTAGCGTTGTCACTCCATATTTCTGTTGGGCATCCTCTTCTGCTCATAAAACGCCTAAGTGCCGACACGGCTGAGTCTGCGCTCAACGAGTGGGCTACTTCTATGTGTATTGCTCGCGACGTCATGCAGGTAAATAACGCGCCATAGCGCTTTTCGCGATGTCGTCCCACTGTGACTTCTATTGGCCCGAAGTAGTCTAGTCCGGTGTATGTGAACGGACGTGCGTGATGAGCGAGGCGTGCGGACGGCAGGTTTCCTGTAGACGGTGATGCAGGCTTGGCTTTTCTTAGACGGCACGGCAGGCATCCTTTGACGACAGTTTTCACTACTGGACGTATTTTTCTTACGTACAATCTCTGTCTTAATTCATTCACAACTGTTTCCACGCCTCCGTGATGCAGCCTCTCGTGTACGTGTGCTATGTACAGGCGAGTGTATGCGTGCTTCCCGTCTAATATGGGAGGGTCGTACATGTCGTCCTCCACTTCTGATGCCGCTTTTATTCGACCTCTGAGGCGTAGCGTCCCCTCTTCATCAATGTATGTGCTCAGGTGGCCTAGTTTGTCGTCGCCTCCCGGAACACTTCCGCTGGTGATTCTCTTGAGCTCCTTCGTGAAGCTTTCCCGCTGACTGGCTTGCACCCACAGTTGTTCGGCTCTCATATGATAAGCGGCCGGTATTCCTACAAGCGATGAGGCAGTAGGAGTCGCCTTTTTCTCCTTGGCGGGGGTGTTGCGTTTGTTTGTTCTCTGCCAGCCAGGGTCGCTACCTTGTCTTGCTTTGTTGCGTTTACGCCCAGCCTTCACTACGTGCTTGTTTGGTCTGCACATGTCGATGAATAGGAGGACTCTCGCTGTCGCCCTTATGAGGCGAATCCATTTAGAAAATCTTCCTATCTGTGGAAGATGTGTTGTTGTCGAGTCTTCACTTTTAACAGCGATGTTACATATTTCTCGCTCTTCCCCGGTGTCATATTGTGTCGTTTTCTCTTCCTGCGGCCATTCTGCCGGTGGACGCTACAGAAACGGGGGCCCTCGGAACCATCGGTGCGACTCGTCGAACCCTTCTGGTGTGGCTCGGGTTGCGTCGTCTGCCACGTTTTCTTTAGACGGTAGCCAACGCCATTCGTTCTTTTTGGTCGTATCTTCTATCTCCGCCAGGCGATGAGCGACGAAAGCTTTGTACGCGCGAGGCTCCGATCTTATCCACACCAGTGCAGTACGGGAGTCGCACCAGTATGTCTTGCCTGCTATGTCGCCATCGTGTTCATCGATCACGGTCTGCGCAAGACGAGCTCCCAGCAGTGCCGCTTGTAACTCGAGCCGTGGTATGGAAACTGGTTTCAGTGGTGTTACGCGGCTCTTGGCGGCGGCCAATGATATGTTAACGCTGCCGTCTGCTCGCTCCGTTCTCCAATACACTGCTGCTGCGTAGGCCTCCTCGCTTGCGTCGACGAATGTGTGTAGTTGGCGCGTCGACACCGGGTTGTAATCGTAGCATCGCGGTATTCTTAGTTGTTCTATGGCGTTAAGTGAAGTAATCCAGCCTTCCCATTTTTCTTTTAATTCTGTTGGCAGAGGGTCGTCCCAGTCCGCCTTGTAACGCCATGTGTCTTGAAATATTCTCTTCGCTGGGGTGGTCACCGGTGATATTAACCCCAGCGGATCAAATAATGCCATTATGACGCTCAACGCTTCTCGTTTAGTTGGCAAGCGTTGTTTTTCTTTTACGTCGGCAGGCATCTTCATATTGTTAGTATTGAATCCAATATGATCGCTATGTACATGCCAGAGCAGCCCTAGCGTCTTCTCAGTTTCTTTTCCGCCCAGGCACACGGTCGCGTCGTGTTGTCTATGCTCTGTCGTTATTTCTTCTATTGTTTTTTCTTCGTTCGATGTCCACCCGCTGAGTACGAATCCCGCTTGTTTGTGGACGTGATCGACTGCTTTTACTGTTTGCTGAGCTTCCGTGACAGAGTGGAAGCTCTGCAAGTAGTCGTCCATATAATGGTTTCTTTTTATGGCGACCGCAGCTTCTGGGTACGCTTCTGCATGTTCTTCAGCATTTTTATTTTTGATGTATAATGCTGTGCATGGTGATGATGTCGCTCCAAAGATGATTTACGTCATCCTATATTCCTCCGGTTGGTCCTCCCGCCGCTTGCCTCTCCACAAGAAACGTAAAACGTCTCTATCTTCTTTGCGCACTTTAATCTGCATGAACATTTCTTTTATATCGGCGCTCACTGCATACGGATACTGTCGGAACCTCATGATCACTCCGGGCAGTGATTGTAATAAGTCGGGCCCCGAGTGAAGCATATCGTTGAGACATATTCCGGCTGTCTTCGCTGCGGCGTCGTGTACCAATCTCGGCGGCTTGTTCGGTTTCGCAGGGTTGATGACTGGGAAGTGTGGCAGATACCATGTCCTTCCTTGCGGCGGTGGCATTGGCGCGCGCTCTGCGTAACCCGAGTTGAAGAGGTTCTCGATGCGTTCTTCGTACTGTAGCTTGAGATTGCTGTCTCGGTCGAGCCTCTTCTCTAAGGTGTGCAGGCGCCTTTCCGCTTCTTTATAATTATTTGGTATTTGGAAGTCCTTTTGTTTCCACAACAACCCTGTCTCGAATCTGCCGTCCGCTGACCTCTGGCTGGTTTCGTCCAATATTTGCATGGCTCGCTGCTCGGGATCTTCTTTCGGTCTTCTCGGCTCGATGCACAGCGACTCCAATTTGAAATAATTTTTTATTTCTTCTTCTATCGGTGGTGCATCTTCCCTCTGATGTAGTCTGCCGCAGAAGGTGACCGTCGACGTCAATGAGCTATGACAGCCATGCAGAACCCAGCCCAGGTTGGTGTATGAGGCGACTGGTTGGTCTCGACGGCCGACGCGCAGTTTTCTAGACACTATGAGGTGCCAGTTATCTTGCCCGATTAGTACTTTCGGTGAGGCGCGTTCGTAGGTGATATCCTCTTTGATATCCAACAGATGTGGGCAATTCCCCAAGTGATCTTCATTCACGGATTCTGGCGCGAAGTCCAACCGCTCTACAGTACGCGCTGCTTCTATGTTGTGTTCTTCTTGCGCGTACGTTCCTCTTATTTTAAAGCTGACGATCTTGCTCTTCTCGTGTTTCACCTCCGAGCCGACCCCTTGTATCCACATTGTGTGGGCTGGGCCGTCGGCGCCGATGACGTCGGCGATTGAGGCATCGACTAAGGTGACCGTGCTCCCTTCATCCAATAATGCGTATGTTTCGACGCAGCTTAGCGGCCCCCTTATTGTTACGGGCGCAATCTTTAGGTAAGCGCGGCGGTGCTTGTACGGTCGAGTCGCTGTGTTGACCTCCTTTGCCGATGTTGCGGTTTCCATAGCGGGTTCTTTTTCCATTACTGCTGTTCTGTCGTGATGCAACAATTTATGGTGTTTCATCATGCATCCGCCTTTTCCGCACGGTGGAGCTTTGCACAGTAATCGACGATGTTTGCCTCGCAGACAGCGGTAGCAGATATTGTACTTCTTTGCTACTTCCCATCTGTCATTTGTGGACAGAGCGGCGTATGACTTGCAATCGGGCAGTTTGTGTTCTTGTTTGCATTGAGGGCAGCGTTCTTCATATGGTTTCTTGCTTGTGGCGAAGGCACGTTCTATTTTTCTCGGTCTTCGCTCTCTCGTTTCGCTGTCCTCTGCGATGAACTCCGGCAAGGCATACGCGCTGCATTTATCCGCTTCTTCGTTTAAGAACATTGATATCTTCTTAAGCTCTGGGATATCTTCTTTCTTTCTGGCTGCATAGTCGTACCATTTGCTTTTCAATATGGGCGTGAGTTTGTCTGTGATAACTCGCGTCATTTCTGGACTATGCAGATAGTGTGCTTTCTTGAGTGCTTCCACGGTGCCCACTACGTTCGCTATGCGATTTGCGAATATGCATAGCTCCCTGGGATTGTTCGTAACTTTGTTCAGCAGCTTCAGCTTCTCTATTTCCAAGTGAATTAACGCTTCTGGTCGTCCGAATCTCCTTTCCAAAGCTTCTATTATAATTCTGGGATCTGGTTGGCTTATAAGTAGGCAACCTGCGGCTTCTTTTGCTGTCCCTTTTAAGCTTCGGCGTATTCTCGCTATGTTTTCGTTCGCCGTGAAGTACTTTGAAGATTCTTCGTACATTGTCTTGAAGCTGAGCCACTCCTTGCTGCTACCATTGAATGAGGGCAGCTCTTGTATATATTTCGGCGGCTCCCTTGTGCTTCGCACTGCTTGTGATAGAGCAGCGGCTAAGGTAGCGACGTCGATTTGCTGCTGCGCCTGTCCATAGTCTACTTTCTGCGGCGCGGTATGTTGCGGAGCGTATTGCGGCGCACACTGTTGAAGTACGGGTGGTGCGATCTGCAGTGCTGGTTGCGGCGCGAAGTACGACGTGGGTTGCGGCGCGGGCTGCGGCGCGGGTTGTGGCGCGGGTTGTGGCGCGGGCTGAGGCGCGGGTTGCGATGTAGGTTTTTCTTGCAACCATGTACTAATGCGCACTGATGCCAAATCGTCTTCTATTTCTTCATCTTCATCGGTTGATCCGGCTTCTGCTTGTAGTCGCTGCACGTGTATTTCTTGCAATTCTGTTCTTGCTTGCAACTGAGCCTGCTCGAGCTTGAGTTCGGCTAACCGCTCTTTCGCCTCTAACTCCGCGAGGAGTCTCTTGCGTGAGGCTACGGAGCGGCGTGACCTAGTCTCGCCGGGCTTCAATGTGCACTGCGATCTTTGATCACCCTCTTGCTGGGTTTCTTCCGTTGCGGTTGTTCTATCGGTTGCCGAGGTAGCGGTCGTATCGCTGACCGTTGTGGTTTCGCTAGTGGTGTTTGTTGAACCACTAGCGGCTGAGTCGCCCCCGGAGGCCTCTTCTGTGGCCCCCTGGGTTGTTTGTTCATCCTTGCGACGCTTCGATGATTCTCCGTTGTTACTACGCGTAATCACCATTTTTCTTCACAATAATATTTTTTCGTTCTTGCGGTTTGCTTCTTTCTTCCGGCAATACCAAGACCGATATTGTCTTTTTCTTCTAGTAATCCGGCTTCTCGAAGGACCATTAATATTACGGATCGCCGTAATGCCGTGCGAAAAATGGAATAAAACGCGCTGGTCTTGCTTTTAACTGGAGGCAAGCGGCGGTGAGGAGGAACTTGTACTTTTTCTTTTCTTGCTGGTGCCTTTTCGGTGGCTGGAGAGCGACTGCTGACCCTAGTTTTTTTTTTTTTTTTTTTTTTTTTGCGCACGAAGCAATTGGAAAAGGGCTACCACTGAGGGAGGCGGAAAATGCATTATGCATACCACGACAGCCGGTCTGTCCTGGTTATGTGGGACTCACTGCCTACCGGGGGACCTAAGTGATACCCACTAAAAACCGCCTTTGGGGACTGGCAACTAGCTCTATTAAAGCTGCATATGCCGTATCTAAAGCGACCCTCTTTTGGGAAAAGAGGGCGCAGACGGCTAAGTGCCGTTTAGGGACTGCCTACGAAGGCATATTATTAATTTTAACTAATTTTTAATTTAATTAGGATTGGCCTGAGCCGCCAGGAGGCAGTTCAGGTCGTTTGACAACTTATTTGGCGGGTCCGAGAGAGTGTTTCTCGGCCTGCGGACGCTATAGCGAGAAGGGAGTGGGGCGGTATAAGTAACTGCCTCACGAATAAGTGTGTTAGTATGCGACTCTGATACTTTAAAGAAGTTTTCAGAGAATTTTTTAAGACATTGCTGGATTGTTGGGATTTCTAAATCCCGGTGAAGGTCGGCATTACGGACGTACCAAGGTGCGTTCGTAGCTCGACGACAGAAGAGGTTTTGAACTACTTGGAGTTCGTTAATAATTTTATCGTTAGCGTGTGCAAAAATAGGAGCCGAGTAAGTCATAACCGGTCGTATACAAACCTTATAGAGGGTTCGCTTATTTCGTAATGACATTTTGCTATGTCTGCCTAACATACTGTTAAGCCGACCTAAATAGAAACGTGCTAGACGCGTTACTCTTTTGACATGAGACTCAAAAGTAAGCCTATAGTCAAGGGTGACGCCTAAATATTTTGCTGACATGTGCCATGGGACAGGGGTCCCTAGCATTCGTATAGGTGGAGTATTTTTCTTGTTTTTATTACGGCGTCTTTTAATATCGAATTGAACTGCGGAGCTCTTCTCCGGGTTCACATCGATACGCCATTTTTGGAACCAGTCTCCTAGGTCATCGACTGACTTTTGGATCTTGTTCCTTGCTGAAGATATTCTAGGACTTTTGAAGTATAGTGCAGTGTCATCTGCGAAGAGTGAGAGCTGTACACCATTCGACGGGATAGGAATGTCGTTGGTGTACAAGATGTACAGGAGGGGAGCTAGTACTGATCCTTGAGGAACACCAGCTTTAATGGGGCGCTGAGAGGATAACGTGCCTTCGTGTCTAAAACGAAAGGTACGATGTTGTAAATAAGAGGCTACGAGACGTACTAGACGATCGGAGAGTCCTATCCTATATAATTTGAAAATAAGGCCTTCATGCCAGACTCGGTCGAAGGCTTTGGCAATGTCGAAAAAGACCGCGATTGTCTTTAGTCGACGTGGATAAAAACCGCTGAGGATATATTCCACAATGCGGTGTACCTGTTGTGGACACGAGTGTTTTGCGCGGAAACCAATTTGGTGTGGGATGACAATGGGGTCACCGTCTGTGGGAAACAGATGGCGCCTCATTCGATTTTGAATGACTCTTTCAAAGAGTTTGCCCATGGCCTTTAGGAGGCTAATGGGACGATGACTTGCCTGAGTTAAGAGGCTTGCCTGGCTTGGGAATACCAATGACAATTGCCTCTTTCCAAGAAGTGGGAAAGTAACTAAGATTAAAACAGGCGTTAAAGATAATAGCTAAGAGGGTTAACACCTGCTCTGGAAAGTATTTAAGGGCTTGGTTGGATATGCCATCCGCGCCCGGAGATTTTTTGGGCTTAAGTCCTTTGATGAGGGACGAGATCTCATCATTGGACACAGTGATAGGGTCAGAGGTTGTGGGGGGTGAGTTCCGGCGGCGGACCTCATCCTCCACTTCCTGAATATGTGAGGGGTCGACAGGTTGAGAGCTAGGAGAGCATTGTGCGGCAATGCTGTCTGCAAAGCACTCAGCCTTCTCGTCGTCCTCGAAGGCAACCGTACCGTCGGGGCGGAAGAGAGGGGGAGTGTGAGTTGTAGCGTCTATACGGAGGGCTCTAGCCATCTGATAGTACGCTGTATGTGAGGGAGATATATTCTCCATGAGTTCACTCCTTTGGAGCTCTCGAAATTCATAAAGGTGCGAACGGAGTTTTCGTTGAAGACGATTAGCCGTATGCCTATATTCGGGGGTGGGATATTTAGCTGCTCTCCGGAAAGCAGCTTTTTTAGCTTTTAATATGTTGCTAATATATAGGGGAAGCCCATTAGTATTAGCAACCGGAACGACCCTTTCATTCTCCTTAAGGGAGGATTTAATTAGGGTTGAAAGTGATTCGACCGCGGTGTCGATTTTTACAGGACTGTCTAAGTCTAAGTCCGACGATAGGTAATTAGGGGAGTCCTGCGAGTCCATAGCTTTTGCTAGTGAGTCCTTGAAACCCTTCCAGTTAGTGAAGGTTTTCGTAGTTATAATAGGGGGTGGCTGATGGCCAAGAATAAGAGAGACCGGTCGGTGATCGGATCCTATATCGTCTAGTGTCTCAATAGACCTGAGGTTGAGTGAAACTCCTTTGAGTAACGCAAAATCTAGTACATCTGGGTTATAATCGGTATTATCGGGATAGTGCGTTGCACCGAGCGGGCTGAAAACGGTTAAGTCAAGAGACTGCGTTATATCACGCAGTATCCTACCATTAGTATTAATCGTACGGCATGTCCATTCAGTATGTTTAGAGTTGAAATCTCCAAACATAATGACTGAATTACTTTGAGATAAGATTGCCTCAAAATCATCTTTGAGGGGGAGGTTTTTAGGGGGAATGTAACAGGAGGCTATGACTAAAGACTGATGTCCCGTCATAGATATCCTGCATAACGTAGCTTCCATATTGGTAAGCTGTGGAGTATCAATAAGAGAGCAATGTAGTGTCTTCTTGTAATAAATGGCCGTGCCGCCGCCTCGGCGGTCGTGCCTATCATTACGAAGAAGAGAATAATTTTTAATGGATAAGCCTTTATTGTCTGTGTGTTTAAGATTGGTTTCCTGTAAGAGGAGAAAATCAGCTTCGCGATCTTTAAGGAAGAGCTTAAGCTCTGGGAGATTATTACGCAATCCGCGAATATTAAATGAAATAAGCGATAGCCCTTTGGGCTTGATACGACCGTGACTTCTAGGCAGAGCAGAAGGCTCTGTCATTATAAGCTAAGTTAATTAAGTTAACTTAGCTTACAACGAACGCAATAAATTACTGTGTTCTGCGAGAGCCAAAAGCCGGTCCTGAGGGGACCGGGCGGCGCGCAGTTTACTCGCTAAAACCGAGATTTCGTTAATGTCGATGTTCCTTATCGCGGCGTAAACCGTGTTAAAGTCATCGCCAATTGTCGACTGTTTCTGCTGCGGAGCAGAAAATACCTGTGGCGGTGGATCTACCTTTTTGGGGCCCCAGGCAAAAACTGGAGCCTGCATAGGCTTTGAGAAGCCCGGTGGTGGCCTAAGCGGTGCCTGCGGTGGCCTAAGCGGTGCCTGCGGTGGTCTCGGGGGACCCTGAGGGGGTCGTGCAAAGCCCTGAGACGGCTGAGATGCGCCCTGACGGGGCTTCCTAACATATAAGGCCGGGAATGAACGGTCATTTACCGGCGGTGGTGCCTGTCTTGCTATGCGCGGACGAGGAGCGCACGGGCATCCTCTGTAGCTCGCCGGGTGGCCTGTCTGTTGACACAGGACGCACGCGGGCGGGGATACGGCATCTTTAGGCCGGCGACACTCTTTGGTGATGTGTGGATCTAGGCACTTAACGCACCTGGGTGGGGCGGAGCAATTGGCCACCGCGTGACCATATAGTTGGCAGCGGTGGCACTGCGCCGGGAAACCGCGCCTATGCGGTGACTCAACCCTAACTCCCGAGAAGCCGCACACCGTGCGTACTTGCCGGAAGATGGTTTGCGCCTCCGGAACGTTGGTTAGGATGGCTAAGACTATCGGGTATCTCAGCCCGGTCCTACTGTGCATTTTATGAACAGCTTCGACGGGGAATCCTTGTGACTTAAGGTCATCAAGAATCTCCTCGTTGGAGAGTTCGAACGGGACGCCTCGGATGACGGCCTTAACTTTACGCTCTTCCGGAAGAGCGTATGTATGTATAATCTTTCCGATGCTTTTAAAGAATATGTAAAAAATTATTCTAAAATGTTTAAAAGAGTTTGCTCCACAGCCAAATCATTACATATTAGTAACAAAATTAAGACAGCTAAGAATAAAATTAAAATGACGTGGAGTATAATTAACAGCGAAACCGGTAAAGAGAAACCTCGTAATTCAAACT